CCGCTGACACTTTATCTCATCCACATCATAGACTATATGCATTACATTAATGCACACAATGTTCATACTCCTTTTTGCACATATTCATATTCTTATTTCACATTTCATAGTTTATATTTTAAAATTCATTCATAGCATTCTATTCCCATGTAAATTACTGCTTTATTTCATTTGTATTGCTATTTAACTGTATTTTATTATGGTGTAAAAGATTTTGTGTTTTATATTAGATTTCTTGTTTTTATTATTTTATTGTATGCACCATGCTCAAAGGCTTTCTCTCTTGCCGGTTATACCACAAGGTGAGTTCCTTTTTATTTCCTGCTTCTTCACACACATGCTCTCCAGTACAGGTTAGCTCTGAGTGTTAGTGGTGCTAATGTAAACACCGACCATATTACGTCCAAAACAGTTGGGCATTGTTTCTGATAGCAACTTTCTGATAGTGCCGTGGGTCCACATTTCCGATATTGCGTCATATCGGACGCAAATCTGGATCAGCTCCGTTGTTCCCCTGTTTTTTGGAGATTTGGGTACGGAGGAAAAGAAAGCGTTTTGTTTTCTGACGCTGCGTGAGTTCCCCGACACACTGGGGACACATATTTAGGTATATAAGACTTAAAAAAGTGCATTTTGCATGATAGGTCCCCTTTAAGCACCAGGTGGTTGTAGATGGATTTTTGATTTTTTTTTAAACACTGATTCCCCCTCCTGGACACTTTAAGAGACTCATATTTAAATATCCACATTTTGTTTGGATAAATATACTGTACAGAGTCCTAAAAGGGTGGCGGAAGAGTTATAGTTGAGAGCTGAATTCCTTAAACATACAAAGGATGGACCTTCCTGCTGTGCACGTTAGCTAACAGCTTTACTTAAGCTGTGACATAATTCATGAGGAACTTGACCATGAGATCTGCTCCTCTCAAATCCTCTTATTTCACAGAGTTGTAAACAGATATGACCTCTATCACGTAGACAGTGCCAACAGTGCTAGAGCTGACTGACTGGGTCTCTGATCATTTACAAAGTTGACGCCTAAAGTGTTGTATTTGAGTTGTCAACCTGCAGCTTTACTTTACTGTCTTAGAGCCTTCTTAAAAACTGCGTGGAAGTGGTTTTTGCCTCAATCTGATATATCTAAATTGTTACACTCATTATTTTACCTCAAGGAATGCTTTTGTTTGTTTGTTGTGTATCTTTCTACAGGATTACTGAAAACACTACCATGTGCATAATTGGACTATTTATAGGTAATTATACTTTGTAGATAGTTACATTATATTACATGTCACTTATTAGACGCATTTATCCAAAGCGACTTACACACTCAATACTGTGGACAATCCCCACAGGAGCAATTTGGGGTGAAGTGTCTTGCCCAGGAACACAACCACATGCTGACTGCAGTGGGGTTTGAGCCTATGCTCCCCTGATCCGAACACCAACGTACGAGTCCACTGCACCACACGCCTCACTAGTTTTATCTTTTACATATAAGTGTATGTCTATGGCATCAATTCTGACACAACATTCGTGTTTTTGTAAATAAAATCCTGATTTCATTTTATTCTAATACACAAGTTTAAGACAAACATAGAATAATATAGTAAGAGTTACTAGCCAATCAAATCCTTTTTTTAAATAGTTAGTTTTTGTTGTATTTTCCCATTGAACTATCAAATTAATAGTTTATATTAACAACCATAGGGTTTGTTCTGTGGATTTTCAACAGTATCAGAGAAACTTTTTCTGGAAAAAAATATAAGATAATGTTTTGACGCTATAAGCACCTACATAAAACTCTGTTCACCTCCAATGTTTCGGGCAATTTCAGAAAACCTAGATGAATAAACTCCAAACTGCTTGCATAGATATAATGAGAAATACATTTGCTTGAATGTATTGAATAGCCCCTTTAAGGAGACCACAGTAATGATTGTGTTGCTTACCTGCAGGGCTGAGACTTCAGCGTTGTTTCCCACCTCCATCTCTGTGATCTGCCTCTCCAGAGACTCGTTGGCGCCCCTCAGGCTCTCGATCTCGATGGTCTTGGACTGCAGCTGCCTCCTGAACTCACTGACCTCCTCCCTGCTGGCCCTCATGGCCTCGTTGGTCCTGGAGGCCTGCTCGCTGAGGCTGGCGAACTTGCTCTTGTACCATTCCTCGGCCGACTGCAGGTTCTTGGAGGCGATAGACTCGTACTGGTTGCGGATCTCCTTCAGAGCCGAGGTGAGGTCCGGATTGGCGAGCTCGAGCTCCACGGAGACCTGCTGCTTCTCCATCATGGTGCTCAGCTCCTGGATTTCCTCGTCATGCACAGTCCTCAGGAAGTTGATTTCATCCATCATCAATTCCAGACGGCGCTCCAGGTCCAGGCGAACGGCTGTGGCGTCATCCACGTCCTTCCTGAAGGACCTCAAGTTCTGCTCAGCTTCGTCCCGCGCCCTCACCTCCTCCTCGTACTTCACACTGAGCTTCTGCAATGAGACATGAGGGGGGAGTTGCAGATATAATATGTAACATTACAATTTCTAAAACAACCAGACCTTTGTTGTTAGGTTGTTGTACATGCTCGCAAATATCCATTCAAACCTAGAAAAATGTTTCATTGGAATCAAGGTTACGCTCAGTTTCATTTAGTTGCATGTAATTTGACGTATCCTCTTATGCTTTTTTAGATCTTTGTTGTTTTCAACTGTAGTTTTTAACCCAAAGAAGTATTTTAGAAGTATGTCTTAAAGGTCACCTATTGTGCAAAATCCACTTGTTCATGTATTTTATACATAAACATGTGTCCTCTGTGTTAACAGATTTGGAAAGTTTCAGGAAAAAAGATTCTCTCTCTTTTTGTCTTGATACATCTTTATAAAAACCTGTCTAAAAATGGGCTGATCAGATTTTGCAAACTTTGTGATTGTTGGGGTTGTGCAACCATTAGCTAATAACCAACCAAGATGAATAACTTATCAGAGGGGCGTGGCCAGCAGCAGCTCATTAGCATTTAAAGCTACAGACACAGAATCAGCACATTTCAAACAGGGCAGAAACCGGGTATGGCATGCTATATTTCATGATCTGTTTGATATTTCAAACCAAACACTTCAGATACATGTTTTGTATATATCGAGTAGACCTATAGTGAATGGTTCAAAAACAGTATAATAGGGGACCTTACGTTGTCACAAAAACAAGTTGAGCAAATGTTAGCGGCAGCAGAACTGCATCGAAAAAACGTTATTAATTATTTTGCCTGTTATTATCCTCAACTTTTTATCCTTTTTTACACATTGGTTTTACCTGCAGCTCATCCTCCATGTTGTTCCTATCGATCAGGATGCGGTTCTTGTCCCGGCTCAGCTCCTCCACCTGTGAGCGCAGGTCGCTGAGCTCCTGCTGGTAGAGGAGGGCGACGCGCGACGGCTCGCCCTGTTTCTGCCTCAGTGTCACCAGCTCCATCTCCAGCACCTTGTTCTGCTGCTCCAGGTGCCGCACTTTATCGATGAACATGGCGAAGCGGTCATTGAGACCCTGGAGACAGGATAAATGCTTATCATCACACAAAATCCTCCATAAGTTTATCTCATCTACCATCCAATTTACAACTTCACTTATTTTGAAGTTTTATATTTCTGAAAACAAAATAAATCAAATATTTACTTAAAGGTCACCTATCATGCTATTTTTAGGCAATAGCATAGGTCTCAGATATATAAAAAAATATATAAAACATGTCTATGAAGTGTTTTGCTCATAATACCAAACAGATCGCCCATTCTAGCCATGCCTCATATGTCATATCCCTCTATTTCACTTCCTG